GGGTTGATTCATCTTTAGTCGTAATTTCCACAAGTTGGAGAAAATAATGAGCATAGATAAAAAATAGCTTTGATATGTAATTCTTTATGGAGAGATATATAGTTTTATACAGTAGTAGGTATACCGCCTCATTATACTAAAACAAAAACTCTCACCGAGAACCTTGCTGTATTATTGCTTTTTTTGTATACCGATGTTTGAACTCAAGTATTGGTTAATTGCCCCCCTATTCTGTTTGTCTTCCATTGTAAAATCACAAAGATATTGATGTAAGGTCTAAAACAGGGGGATATAGGCTATGTAAATTGATAGGATGAAAAAAAATGGGGGTCGGGATTGAAGGTAAATGATTGATATGTGCTGTTTCCAATCTGATGTCTCGAAACCATTATTACTATTATTCGTGACACCACCATGTAGCTTGGGCGTCAGATTAGAGCTTGGTTAAAATATGAAGCAGCCTCTTTCGAAAAGGGAAGGTCATTTGCAAAGCCAAGGTCAGAAAGCAGATCTGGCTTTCATGTCCGCCTGTACACCGCCAGGTATGCAATAAGCATTGAAAATTTCGGACTTATAGAATAGTCCGATCGGAGTCGGTTGAAGATATCTGGATTTAATTTTTTCTGCACATCAAGTAGTGTGAAAATGTAGATTCTCTCGCTTATTTTGATCAGGGGTAAGTAACGGTAACAACTTCAGTGAACGAGGAGCGAGTGAATACGGTTGAATAAGGTGATAATATTGAAGGAAGTGATGATTAAGATTTGGTGGTATAGATTTCGTGGAAAGGAAAGTCGTGATGTAGAGAGAGATAACGATGGAGATGATAACGTAGAGAATTAGCTATTTTACAATAAGCTCTCAACTTCATTTATTTCTCACATATAATTATTCATGTCCTCAACTCAGAACCATTTGATATATATAGCTAAAGAATTGAAATAAGAGACCATAAAAAAGAATTTTTGTATCAACAATGAATATGAAATCATAATCCTCCTATGTTACTATTATATGACTCAAGTCATGACGTCTCAAATTCCCATGCTGTCTAAACGATTTTCCGCATTCTGATACTCGACAAATAAATTGTCCCCCTTGATCGTGGACAGCGTCTGTATGTCGTGTAATACTGGAGAGATGTGAGAAAGATCTATTGCATTCTTTGCAATTATAAATTCTCTTGTTACTAGAAGCCTTGTGGTGAATGTTTTCATGAATCTTGAGATTTACCTTACTTGTGTACCTTTTTTTGCACCCTGAAACTTTGCAACTATAAGCTTTCGGTTTGTGACTAGAGTTATGTCGATATAATTGTCTAAGTTCTTTGAAATTTTCCCCGCAAATTTACCAGGAGTGGTAACCAGTTTCTTGTGAGATCCGCATGAGCCCGACAGATATATTGTCCTTTGCTGCGTTGGAATCTGATATAGCGTCCCCTTCTCTTGTATCAAAATGATTGAAAGCCGAAAAATCAGAATTTTGAATAGATGGATTTGATTGTTGAGCTTGCAGGCTGAGGTGTTTGTTGATCTGTTAAATCTTAAGTTAGCAACAACAAGCTTGAAGGGTTGATGACCATCACACTTACATTTTGGTTATCTTGAGTAGACCCATTGAAAGAATTTAAATGATGTGCCATGCCTCATTTGCGACGAATGTACCGCTATTCAAATGATTTTCTTGGGGCAAATGTAGTGGTTCGAAAGTGATGTTATCCAGGTATCCTTCTTGAGGTAAAAGTGGCGATTCGAAAGTGATGTTATCCAGGTATTCTTCTTGAGGTAAAAGTGGTGATCTGAGGTATTCTTCTTGAGGGAAAAGTGGTGATACGGGGTATTCTGTGGTCTCAGTGGGACCTGAAAAATCAAGAGGTGTTTCGGTAGAGCTAGTCGGTAGAGGTTGGTTTAAATGATGTAGTGTAGACTGGTGATTTTTCGTACGTTTCGTCAAGTCTGCACTACGTTTGAACCTTCTTTCGCAATTTGGCCAAGAGCATACATTAGTTTTTTAATCATTGTGACAATAAGCTTGATGCTGCTTCAAGCTATGAGCAAGTTTAAACTCTTTTCCGCATTTTGATAATTCGCATTTATAAGGTCGCTTATCACTGTGAGTAGTGATAGTTTGATGCCGCTTCAAACTTCGAGAAACTCTGAATCTTTTTCCGCAGCTTGGTAAATAGCATACATAAGGTTTTAAAATCTGCTTTAGCTCAGGAGATATAGCGTCTTGTGTTACGCTAGAATCAGATTGTTGGCGGGACATGTTGCTTGTGTTTGACGGGTTTCTGTGGGTTTCCTAATACTCAAGTTAAGAATGAATTGCTAGGTTTGAAGGAAATCGCACTTACGTGCAATTGGATCCCAGGGACGCTGTAGTCTTGATGAAGAGTCTTCCTCGCAAGGAATGTCGCTTGGCTGAGTAAAATCGAAAGGTTGAATGGTTATATTGGATTCTTGAGCCTGCGGGCTAGAGTATAAATATTGAGATATGCTGTTCACTTCGGCTGTATTGTGGTTATTGAAAGATATGGATTTAGAATGTTGAAATTGAAAAGATAGATTGAATGAATGAGCTTGCGTGATAGAATATAGAGATTGAAATATGTGTTCCTCTTCTCTTGCATTGTAGTCTTCCAGAGTAGTTATTGTAACGAACTGTAAAGATTAGGATGTGAGCAGAAGCCTCTTCATTATACAATAAAAATATCTATCTAATTTGAGGTTCCCAGGGTGCTTAGAATTCTAATGCCTGGAGATTCTATTATTTCAGGAACCAATACAACCCACATAATTCGGATAGTGATCCAGGGTTAATGATCTGGGAGTAACCAATGGGTTCACTACGAAAGAAAATGAATCATCGTCCTCTTTCCTTATGCTATACCCAGAAGTCTATTTCTTGGTAGATAGAAATTAGCCGATAATTCACAGTATCAAGGACCAGTTACCCTGTATCATTAAGTATCATATCCTGCAAGTTACTCGCTAATTATACTACTGTTGTAATCGGTTGTAAGGTTATTTGCACTAGCATTCTGTGATTTACTCTGTTACAATGTAGCCAAATCCCTACCTTACCCCTCAGAAAATAAATATGCTTACTGCAGCAGAAATTGAGCACAAACATTGCACTCGACCCTCCCCGCTATTGTAGCGGTCGTCATTCCAATCTATAATTGATTTTGTATTAAGGACTGCAATTTCACAGCGAAAGAATAATTTTTCTTTAAATCCAAATAAATAAACTAGCAAGCGCATTTCGTATATCCTTCCAGAGATACTTCATGAGTAACCAGCGACTTTGTCTCCATCTTGCAATATACAACCTCCCTGACCATTTCCTTTCCAAAACAGACTGATGGATTGGGATTGTAGGAGAACCTCCACAAATCAAAAACACGTTTCCTACTCGATACTGAAATAGATCTGGAACTTCAGCCTCAGCTTGAAATATATAGCTGGACGTACACTTGGGCACCCAATATTGCCATAACCAATTAAATATTCTTCGATAGCGACCGTCGTATTCAACAAGAAGTAAAGTCCCAGCTAGCGTGGATTCCAAACATTCCAAAGCAACTTCGGTGGCTTGACAATCTCCTGATATTCTGAAGAGACCAGACGGGTTCTTTCCCAAAATGCCAAACCCGTACTAGAAATTGGATGAGTTACTTTGGATAGAAAAGGAGGACTTTCAATTACATACAGTCACTTTTTCGTTGACATTACTGCTGTAGCTTGTATTGGCAATGGAGTGCATGTAGCTGTCATTCCTTACAGATTGCGTGGGAGACATTATGATTGGAAAGGTAGAGGGTAAACGTGAGAGGGATAGATATGGGGCTTTAGGTAGAACTAGAGTAGAATAATACATCCTGCGGATATTGGGATAACAGGGAAGCAGCCGAAAACAAAAAGAGCTCAGGGCGCAAGTAAGCTGGAGCCAGGAATGAGTAACAGATGAGAAAGGAGTATTGTTCAGGTCACATCTAGTGTACCCTTGCTATGCTGGAACAGGCGCAGGTGCCTACTAGGTAGTCAACAGCCTCATTTTCTGAAAACTAGCAACAGTAACCGAAGGTGAAATCACAGATTTGGAAAGGAAGAACGAGTAGCGAATAGTTGTATGCTTGTAAATGCATCCATCAATTTCAGAGGCATATTAGGGGCGGATGAGAAGACAGAAGCCGGTTGGTTTGCCAAGTAAGCCAAGTTATCTACAATTTTAACAGGTCTAGCGTGTTTGACAGAAATGAAACTTATGCCTATTTGATATTTAGAGAGGGAAGCTGAAAACCTGTCTGGAGGAGTAAATCAGCTATTGTCTAGTGAAACATAACATACGACCGCGAGCATTAGGTACAGCAGAAGGAATCCAATACTGCCGGAACTTTTGGAAAAGACAATCATTAATGGACCCTTTTTGGTAAATATCTTAATTGCTATATTATAGATTTCTATCTATACTACATTGAGTATCATATATCCACATCCACCAAGAGAAACCATGAGAAATACTTGTATCTGAATTTGATTTCTATACGAAAGGTTGCACAATTTGATTAGTAAACCATATCCTTCCGGTATATGATTTAAGCACTCTCAGAAAGAGCTACTGCGATTTGGGTAATTGTTCATATCCCCAATTTGTCAATTTAGACAGCGTACGGCATATGCTAGATTTGGGATTCAATCTGATTGGAATAGAATATTGATCAGTGATTGGATGGAACTGTAAAATACATAGATGACATTTTACTTAATCGAATTGCTTTCCCGCTTTCCAATCGTTCTCCCCTACACTAACAACATTCCACCCTATCGCGGAACGTATATTTCACCGCTACATCATTGAGTCGTACAGCGTACTTATGGATGTTTCTACTGTCGAAATCTAGATCATGAACTGTCGTTTGCAAAACCAAATCATCTCCGCTATTCAACCGATTCATCCTTCCAAGCCAGAACTAGCCTCAAGTTTCAGCTACTGCCAGAATGTTCTCGATTCAGGATGACTGGCACACACCAAGTATAGTTCTGCGGGACCCAGGGATAAGACCTGAGAATGTACCACATCACCCCTCGGTGGGGGATGCCTCGACTGAAGATTCGCTTAGAGATAAAATGAATGGTAGAGTTGTCTCTGGGATTTGAATCTACCCTTGACTGATCAGTATTATAGCTGTCTTGAGTATGAGTGAGAGTCTATTCAGAAGACTTGTGGACTACTTAACAGGCACCGCTAGAAGCCACCGTGGCGGATTCGACATACCTTGCGACATACAATACAAGATCGTGAGAGTCTTACATCCTATATACTTGTGGATATGGTGCACGATCCAGATCATCCAACCTGATAATATACAAATTCACGATTGTCTCCTTGAAGACTGGTTATTGCTTTCCAGATTCTTCACCTCAATCGACAAGAAAAACTTTGTCCACTTATATACTGGTGCTACAATCCAACAAGAAGTCATTCCGCACTGGATCAATGCATACATCCATTGCAAGAAAGCGAATAAGGTGGATTATCAATGGGTGTGGGCGACGACACTCAGCCGCCATGATACCAAATTGAAACCTGGCATAAGGGATATTTCAGAAATCGAAAAGGAAAGGCTAATGCAGGAAGAATTGAAGCCTCTTTTGCGTACAGTCGAGGTCTTCAGGGATGCTCCACGTCAAGACAGCTTGGAGGCATTTGGAGCTCCGCTGCCAAATGATCTGGAAGCATATGGTGAGTTACTTTTAAATCCTCTTCTTATTATTAACTAAAGAGAATACAGCGAGACACCATATGGCTATACTTGCTTCAATGATTCAATCCGCTGAGGATCTCCCTCCTCCTGGAGTGGATAGTACATTGAGATCTTGATTTTCACGAAAGGATTCCACTTCATCGCTATTTCGGAGACAATATACAGCAACACATTGATTTATATCTGGGTATTCTGGCCACATCCTAGTTCATTCGTTCTCAGCCTATCTCTTCTTCTTTAGTCGGTATAACCGTCAGCTACACAACCTCGACGTTGGTAAGTATCGGAGCAGTGTCGCGGGATCCGCCAACAAGTATGGCACACTGGTCTGGACTTGGAAGGATAGCAAAGATAGCTATAAGCAGCTGCTCAAACCTGGAGGTCTAGCTGGAGAGGATTGGAGGCGAATACAGAGGGGTGGAGAGGTATGGATTGGACTGGAGTAGGATGGAGAGGTATGGAGTGGATTGAAGAGATATGGAGATGGTTGGAGATGGTTGGAAATAGATAGGTGGATAGAAATGGAGAGAAATATAAATCATATCCTTCAAATCATTTCACCAGTGGCTATTAAGAAGTCTATAAGTATAATCGAGTATATTGTTTCAGCTCTCCGGTAAAATAGTCGGCGCTTACTCATAGTGAGGTGTGTATCTACCAGTACCTATCGTTTGGCTTGGATTGGATTTTCATTTCTGCTGTGATATGAGTCGAAGTTCCCTGTGTCTGTGTCACGGGTTCACCACAACCCACCATATAGTCGTTGCCGCATGGCAACCACTTTCACCTTCTTCGTAGAATATCATAATACCATACCTGATCCTACCAGTTCACCTTGCACCGTGATAGTCTGAAAACTGTAGTGGATATCAAATGATGATTCACTAATTGAGGTTTGAAATTGAAGTTGAGCTCAACTTTCTAAACCTTTTCATGATGGGGATCTGGATAACTTTCCACCCAGGATATATTGTTGAAGGGAGCCTGAGATTTTACTGGCACCCACTCATCGACCACACTGCCGATCATCAATGACATGACAGATGAAAAATGTGGTCTCAAGTTTCCTGGTTTCCCACGACACACGTACTGCAAGCTAGGTGTAGAAGATCTTCGTCGAAGCATTAGTGGATTCTCTCACTCATTAGACTGGTTTGAGGAGAAGCAAATGCTCAACGATAGTCTTGATCTCAAAGATCACAATGCAGGTTATGTGGATATGAGTCCTCAAAGTATGGAAGCGCGTGCGGATTTTTTTGGTTATAGATCGAATTTTTATATTTTCAATTGTTTCTCGTGTAAAAGAAATTCCTTTGATAAAGTTATTAATTAGAGTATGCCCTATCATTTGCACCGAACAGATTTCGTCATTGATATATTAAGAAAAAGTTTATATTTTTGTGACGGAACAGACGGTTCAGTTCCGTCCACTGACATATAGGCCATATGGGCCTAGATGATTTCATTCCTTTTACCTTCCTTTCGAAGCCTAGGGCTTTCGCCCTTCGGCTTCTCCCTCTAGGCCTAGCCCTTATGGCTCCCAGTACCTGTATATATAGTCCTCCTTTTAGCACCCTACATAGCTCTTCACTTGTAGATTCTAAGTACACAAATGGAGTTCTGATTATACCCATTTGGTCACAATTTTGATAAGAGTAGTAAGTGATTAATAAAATGAGTTAGAGTATGTGAATCTGAGCATATAATTACAGTCACGTGATTATAAAC